TCCGCGGCCGGTAGAAGGTGGAGACCCCTGGTGAGATCGCACGCACTCTGCTCGATGGTACTCAGTCCGATGGTGTTGTGCATGTGCCGATGGAGCCGGTGGTCACTAACACCGCTAGTTCTAGCAAGGTGGCCAGCGGCACTATTCTCTCAATGTCCAGCTGCTTTTCGGACTGCCTGCAAGTCAGTAGTTTGAAGCCTCCTTTTTGAGTTCGAACCTCTTCAAAGGAAAGCAGGATTGAATTCTGGTTTGAACTTCACACTCCGGGTCTCCAGGTTCGGGAACTCCAATCCCGAAGTTCGAACAGGGGGTTGGGGGGGACGCAGCCCTGTGCAAGAACAAGCTGCGCGCGAACAAAATGTGATTTCAAGCGCTGGATGTCTCCATTTGTCTTCTGTCGGGAGCCGCTTGCTGACGCAGAGCTGCAACAACTGCTGCCAAGCAACAAGCACAAGCTGACGTCCAGAGCACATAGGCCGGTGTTACAACTCCCTCCGAGTGCATTCCGTTGGCCCTCGTCCATGACAAGCGTCTCTCCATGCATGGGTGACTTCGGGCGCAGCTGTTGGAAAGATCCCTGTGTGACCAGTAGAATTTTGGCATCGTGTGTGGATGGCAGTTATCCGCCGCCGCGGCGCTGACCTGCCTTGGCAGCCAAAGATGGCCGTTTCTGGCCATGAGGTTCCCATCAGAAGGCAGCGCCCCGCAAGCCGGCGGCTTCCAGAAGGTAGCTCGGCTCTGCGGCGACCCAGGCTGCCTCAGCTGACGTGCAATTGGGCCGTAGCTCCTCACGGTGGTCAACTGACCTCCTGAACGATGCCCGCTTCCCACGAACTGAAGACACAGTCAGAAGTTCTAACTTCCTTTGTTGTTGTTCGTTTTTGATTATCATGTGCTTTCTAAACATTGCGCGTCAGCGGCGATGATCAGAATTTGTTCTTGTTCTCCTCTGGAAGCTAGAGGTCTGTTGGCAGGTTCCGACGGATCAGAGCTCTAGATGCTCTTTTCTTACAGATGGAAGCTTCAGGTGGCAACTGAATAGGGCTGAGTTTCGGACCATGCGTTTAATTGCTTGGAGGTCACCGGAGACCGAAGTACTGCCTCGTTTAAGTCTTTGGCGGCCATCTAAGCTGGCCTCTGCATGGATTTGTGGACGTTGTGTGCGTGGTCATTGGTGGGCGGAGAAGACAATTGATGCAGAAACAATTTGTGTTCCTCATGCCGTCAATTGTTTGCGACTTACCCGGCTCGCTCGCACCCGATTCAAGCCTGGCTCGGGTGTTTGTCGAAACTTTCTGTGGCTATTGTCAATCTATCTGTCTATCTGTTTGAACACTTGCATTCCCGCAAGCTGTCAACGGACAGCCAGAATGCCACCCTGAATGTCTGCAGAGACACTTAGCACGCAACGACACGTGGCATGCAGAGTCTCTCATTTTTTTTGCATGTGACACGCAGCCATCTGGCCTTTCTTTCCACATCCCTGTGAATGAAGCAAACCTTGCGCCTTGCGCGAGCCTATGTTTGTCGGCATGATTCAGGCTCCTTGCACCGACAGACGTCACGCATGCATCACAAGGGTCTGAAGGATCGGAGAATGAAGATGGGGTGCCGACCTGCTAGCTAAGCCACCAGTTGTGCTGGGCCTTGTCTGCCCATGGAATCAAGAGCACAACACACTTGGATGTGATGTCATATCCGGTCCAGGATTGCACCGACAAATATTAGCATGTCTTCAGTGGTGTGCGCGCAAGGCAAGCCACTTGCTGGTGATTTCTTGGATGGTGGGGCCACTGGGATGGCTCTCTGGACATCACGGTGTCCAATCATACAAGTTGTCCGAGTCGCCCATCAACATCACCGACTCAACTGACCCGACAGTGGCCCGCAAGGCCGGGCTAGCTCAGAGTGGCGGCAGTGGGCATCATAATGAAGCAGTGCTTTCCTCATGGCAGCCTCAATGGAAAAAGCCCTGAACAAGAACGCTGTTGTGACACCTGCATCCTGACCGCTTAGGTGGAGAAATTGTTGGAGAACAACTTGGTCCATGGCAAAGCTTTCCCGGTGTCGCAGTCGCCAGAGTAGCCCTGCGTGAAAGCTTCTGCAGACTCTCCGGACGAATGATTGATGTTACAAGAATCTTGAGCTGATAACATGACGGTACGTCACAAAAGCTGGTCACGGGACATGGCTTGTGACATATTCAAGAAGAGCGTGCCCGCAACCGACATGGTATTGTGCATCGAGAACGGCGACAAGAGATTGCAGCACCCAGGCGGCACAAAGTGATGTTAAATAATGTCAGAAATCTTGTCGATGAAGATACAGAAATAGACGGCCTTATATGAAAAGTGCTACTAAGCTACTATGCGACAGTCTTGATTCTGCAAGATCGCCAGCATCTGCTCATGCGTCCTTTGGCTGCGATTGCGTTGTGCTGCTCATTGCATGCTTCCGGGGCAGATCTAATGTCTCTGTTGGGAGTATCAGGGCAGTAACATTGGACGATGCATGTAGCGAGACATTGAGATTCCGGATCGCATTGTTTGCCAGTTGTAGCTTTTGACTTTCCTTTTGCTTGCAGGGTGTTGATTCGGCCGGACGGCAGCAGAGTGCTCTGCCAGGGCCCCGCAACGGTAAAGATTTCCATTGTCGCATGTTCAGTGAAGTGCTGCATGCAGGCCGGATGAGGTTGATGAGCTGTTATTGTTGGCTTTTCCCACGAATGTCCCTTCCTGCTGATGTTTTGGCTCACGGAGGGAGGTGATGGCCAAGCCTGGCTTGGGCCCGCCTTCAACATGCAGCCTGATTCCAAGACTGTACTTCGTTCAAGCATCCTGCATGTGGGCTTGTTGCAGCAGATGGATGCTCCGCAGTTGTGTCCAAGGTCGGGAGTAAAGGTCCTTTCGCCAGTGCCTCATGAGCACTCTAATCGAAGAAGCCAGGCCAGATTGCAAGAAGGGAGTCCCCGTTCCTGAAATCCAATGTGTGTCTCGGCAGGCCGATGGCCGGCCAATGCCGATGCCTCAAAGCCAAGCCGTGTAGCCAACTCGGCCCCACCGTGGCGCCAGACGTTTTTAGGGGAGCAATTATGTCGTTCACCTGGTATGGGTCCGGCCCTTGCACTTCAGTTAATCATTCCGATTGCTACTCCAAGTCAGGACCGTTGGATAACGCCCAGCAACCTCGAAGCCTGACTCGCGTTTCTTCAACTCTGACACTTTCGCGCAAGTCCCAAACATGTTTAGCCCTGAAGACGGAAAAGACATGCAGAGCACCTCCAAAACCTTACGTAAACAATCTCTGGTTGTAGGCATGCTACAGTAAGATGCGTTGCACCAAGGTGCAGGTTGTTGGTACACGCTCGCAGCACGCCGGCTGTTCGGTTTTTGCACTGCGTTGCTTTCGCTGTCAGCCTCGTTCTGTCCGCTTCGTAAGGGCTGCGGTCACAGAAATAGCCCTGGGGGGTCAGCAGACAGCAAGCGCATGAACCGCATCTTTCCTTTTCTGTTCACATCGTTTCAGGGAATTTTGGGCAATCGCGTTTGGGCTATGGAGTTTAGAGGTTTAGGAGTTGGTTTGGCCGTGGCTTGAGGCTTAGGGGGAGGCTTTCAGGGTTTCGGTTTTCTACGGTTTTGGGTTTGGGGTTTACGGTCGGTGTCTGTAGTTTTGTTGGCGGTTTTGGGATCTATGGGCTGGGGGTTTCGGATTTAGGGTTTAAGACTTAGGGTCTTGGGTTTAGGTTTTGAGGTTTTGGGGTGGGGTGTGCGGTTAGCGGTTCAAGGAGGTTTGGCTTGGCCCAGCGCTTAGGGTTTGGGCTTTGGTGTTTTGGGATCAAGGTTTTTGAGGCTTCGGATGGCTGAGGGTTCAGAGCTCAGTGTTGGGGTTGTGGGTTGGGTGTTTGGGAGTTTCGTGTTTAGATGCTTCGAGTTCGGAGTTTGATGTTTGAGGTCTAGGGTTCGAGTTTAGGGTTTTGGGCTTACGGATTAGGTTTTAGGGTCTTGCCGTTAGCCCAAAACTCCTAGGGAAGCGACGCGATGAACAAAAGCCAAAATCACCCAAAGCAAAAAATATGCTATTAGTGAGAGACGTTAGCGGGAGACAGAAGCGCGCCGTTGGTAACTTGGTCTTAGCAGGCCGGCCACGCTTCTTGGTGTGTATGCCTTGTGCCTTGAGCCGCGAAGTCTTGCCTTGTGCACCGATTTTCTCGTGAGACCTGGCAAATACCAACTGCCGTTAACTTTTCGACAGCAAATGTTTGTAAAGCCCCTGGTGTTGAGGGGTCTTAATTTTTGTGCGCGTGGTTCCGCTTCGTTCCGCTGTGCCGAAGGCCACTTGTGTTCGAACCGAGGCTGCGCACGCAACCGACGACCATCTCGAAGATGGGCCGACGACCTTTTTGACGAGGGGTGTCCGCAGTAATGCGCAGCTTTCGAGGCTTTGCCTGTGTAGTGGTTTTGGGTCTGCCATCCGAGGCCTCCGGCAGTCCTCTCCCTAAGCGAAGTTGATTCAACTGTGCCTAAGCATGAGTACCGAGTTCTGTTGCACCACATCACTGAGGCAGAAGCCTAGCATGGTGCATCCTTTCGTGGTTCCAGCCCGAGTGCGAAGGGCAGCTGGCATGGCTTCGCGAGCTGCGCTCCAGTAGATTGATCATGTTCTTGGATGTTCCAAGTTGCGAGCGACGCGGTACGTTGTGGAGCACAGACTCTTCACCATCCTGACAACACTCCTGACAGCCAGGGCCATAGCTAGGGGTTCTGAAGGCGTTTCGCGTCTCACGAACACGACCGGGTCCCCCGAGGTTTATGCCCTCACCGGCGACGATTGTCGCCTGCTCTTCACCCACCAGCCAGCAGATCCAGCCGGCAGCCTTCGCATATCTTCGCATGCACCGAGTTGCAACCAACCTCAGAGGGCCACTGGTCTGGACTGCCCAGGTCTTTGATGGACTGACCTTGTTCTGCATCGTTGTCTTCGTGCTGGAAATCGTGCTGTGCATGTTTGCAAAGGCAAGCGCGGCTACCAAACTCCCGGGATGTAGAGCAGCAAGATAGATCCCCGTGAGGATGACTACATTCTTAGCTTCTTTTTCTTCTTGGACATAATCTCTACGATCACCTTGGCACGGCTCTTAGCATCGTCAGAACAGATGACTCTTGTAATTTGCAGTTTGCAAGCAGCACCTTGCAGACATGTTGGAGGTGATCGATCTCACATGGATCGCTGATATTTTTCAGGGGGACGAAGAGGACGTTGATCTCAAACGGTGACTTAGTTTTGCTGGGTCTGTTAGGTGCCTGCCCTCGCAGGACATGTCCAGTGATGAGTCAGTCTCTGGAACTGCAAAGATTGGAGCTAGAACCTCTCGAGTAGTTCGGGTGTTGAGGCAGGCGGCTGAGCCAAGCTTAGCTTCTCATTCCGAGTGTTGGGCTTTTCGATTTGCTGCAGGCTGATACGAATTATCAAGCTGTACAAGGCAATCTACGAGGCTAGGCAGCTGCAGAAGAAGAAAGAGGCAGGGACCAAGGTCTGATTGTCATAATGGTATATGTTTACACACATATCTGAAGAGATAGACCGTGTGCATGCGCCAGGAGCTTGCGAAGCAAATTACCCTTGAGCAGATGTACCCTGCCAACGACGATGAGGATTCGTACGACGAGATGGAGGCAAACACGGCCACTAAAGACACATGTCTGGCTGAACAGCATTCCACATGTTCCTCCGCCCTGAAGGTCCAGCAGGCCGGCGGGAAACACTGATGGTGACCAGCATTGTGGAGAGCATTGCTTGCTCGGAGTTGAGTGCATTGGTCCTCTTGTGTCTTGTTCCTCTCGCGGCACCGTTTGTTCACTCGAAAGTCCTTCTCGGACATGTAGGACCAGGGGTTGTCGACAAACGGGTACATCTGCTACTTGTAAGAACTATCTGTACTCTCTGCACTCTGTCTTTGCTTGTTCTCAACGGACGGCATGCCGCCAGCTGCTCCTTGGACACTTGTCACCATAGTTGAAAATGTTGCCTCCGCCTCGGTATAAGTGGCCGTACGTCGACCCGGGCAAACGGCGTCGAGGGTCCGAGCAAGTGGAGGACGGAGGCAGCTAGCTCCACCGGCGGCCTCCAAAACTCTTGGTCATTTGCTATTATCGTCGAAAGCCCGGCGTGATGATGTCCGATTGCTAGACGCAGTGGGGTCTGGCCTTTCTCGGCTCCTATCTACTGCTTAGGGGAGCGATTGGCAATCGACGTCACACTGTGGCGACTCACGGCAGGCAAGCATGACAAAGGCTCCCGGCAAGGAGAGCAGGGCCAGACACTCAAGCCGCAAGCCCTTTCAGCGGATTCAGAGTTCCGAGCGATGCCGAGAGTGGAGTCGACACCGTGCATTCTGTGCAGCTTTGTTGCAGATGCAGCTGAGGTAGGGAAGAAGCTTTCTGAGCTGACCACGCGTCGCGTTATCCTGCTCGTGCCGGTCTTAGCAAAGCTCTTGCATAGGGCATAGGGTTTCGCCTTCTGAGCAAGAGACTCCAGGACCTCAGTAGAGTTTCAGCTCCGACGCCAACCCCAGAGATGCTGTGAAACTTGCCCTACAGCTTTGGCGCGAAGAAAAGGTCCTCGTCATGATGCTGGTGCTCCCGTACCTCAAGGCCAAAAAGCATATGGTGTGATCTAGCATTTCCGATCCGTCCCGTGGCTGTTCAGGTAGAAGAGGCTCAACAGTTTCCCACCTCTGCTGGGTATGGTGCTGACATCGTGAATCAGGCGCGATCCCCACCTCCGACTGCACAGGCTGGGCAGTTGTCTTTTCTGGTGATTTTGACTTCTAAGGCCTTTGACCAGTACTTGGCCAGCTTTGCGCTTGGCATCTTTGGCGGCGTGTGCGATCAACGTGGAAACCCGTTGTCCCTGGCTCAGGCAACTCCACGGCAGACAAGGAGAAATACGACATGGCCTTGCTTGAGTGCTCCGGGTGCATTGCTTTGTCAGCATGAAGTAGTCTTTTGCCAGCCAGCCCGAAGACTGCGCCTGTGAAAGGTACATCTATTACCATAACTGGTACACCAAGCAGCTGCCATCCGCTTAGTTGCTTCAAACGTGACGATCTCACCCAGACTTACAAAAGAATGCCTGTGCCAAGGGGTGAGTGCCCGATTGTCACAAGCGACGGATCGCGATCATGTGAAAGCTCGAGATCTTTCGACTCGCACGTGTTCTGGGCCCTTTGTCGAAAGTTGACTCTTCTTGCGCTATGCATGCTTGCATGTAGATGTGTTACGGAAGCTTATCATGGGCCCAGTGAGGTTGGCTTTGTGGCCACGAATGAGGCGTTGCTTCTGGAAAGACTTCCGAAAGCTTCAGAGCATGGCTCAGTCTCGTTTCGCAACTGTCCCTGCTTTATCTCACGTGTCTTGTCTGAGGTGTCTCCAAGTGCAGTGGCAGACATGGAAGCCCTGGTCACCCAAACATCGGTCGGTGATGAGGCAGCTGATGAGGCGGCTGGCATTTTGCGCATTTTGCTTTCGAGTGGCCAGGCGTGGCTTTATGTTTTTGGCCACATGCCAACCAACGTCTTGTCCTCTGTGCGTCTTGTTGCGCAGCACAGAGTACGAAGATGGTGTATGGAAACGCATTTCTGAGGTCCAAACAACACTCGGACTCAGCTTCTGGCTTGGGAGGGAGTGCTTTAGACTTTAGAGAAAAAATCAACATGCCATTGTCAAGAAGCTAAGGTTGGAGCAGAGACTGTCCCTTGCAAAGCGACAAGCATCCAGCTCAGCGGAAAGCACAGCTTCCTCCTGACTTGCAAAGAACTGCAAGTTGCTCTTGGATTCAGGAAGCGGCGTGGGCTCTCCATTTTAGCAGAGTCATTTCAAGAAGGTCAGTGGCAGGCGAGCCGTTCTTGCTTTTCACTTCCGCGTGGGAGTAGCCGTGGTGGTAGCGGAGACAATTTTGTATCGCAGGTCGACTACGCAGTGCCTTGTCCAGATGATCTGCGAAGAGCCGCGCCCGTCTCATCTGCTAGCGTCAATGAGCTTACGATCCGATCTGCTGAAGTGGGCTCAATGCAAGTCTGACAGGAACGCAAGAAATACACTCCTCGCTTGAACATCGCGAAAGATCAGTTCGATGACCGTGCCTGCTTGCAAGCTCTGGCTCATTGTGTGCCTGTACCTTTGTGAAGTCAGTAGCCCGTTCTGCCTGCAGGAAATTCACTTTGCATTTTACTTCGACTTGCGACCGTTCGTGAAGCAGGAGTCTGTGTGCATGGCTCAACCTGTCGAGCGTTGAGTGTACACACACACACACATGTACATACAATATGGATTGTATTCATGTGCATACTAGTATATGGGTGGTTGTCAAAATTTAGGGTCCCTTGTTGGGTACCCTAAAAATCAGGTACCGTATTGGATTAAGGACCCAAAAAGGGACCCTAATTTTTACAACCACCCATGTATATATCGAAATACATGTATATATATATATATATATATATATAAACGAGAGAGAGAGAGAGAGAGAGAGAGAGAGAGGGAGACCAAAGGTATCTACTTTCAGCAGTTCAATTGTGGGCAGCCCAATTTTGTATACTCATGGCCACCAGGATTCGAATAACGTCGATTGTTTCAATTCCTTTGGGCCGAAAACTTGATATAGTTGACAAGCTGAGATCCAATTACTTCAACTATTTCAATTTAGTGGAGAAAAATGAAGAGGACAAGTCCTTATCAGTTTTCACCCCCCCACGCCCCCTCCGCCCCGGAGCCCTAGGAACCGCCAAATCCCTTTTGAGCTCAGAGTCCGGCTTGCGGACATTTGCGGACAAGGCATGTGAGTGTATCAAGACTGTATGTACATTTCGAGCCTTGCAACAAGTGCACGTTCAAGGCACAGCGAAGTAGACAGGAGATGTATATGAGTCTTGACAGCTATAAAATCACAATCCTGGTGGGCATCTCAATATCACACTGTGGCTTACTGCATGCTCATATATATGTATATATACATATACACACATGCATACTTGGCATACGCGTCACAACATTTTTCGTGCACATGCGGGTTATACCTGTTTATCCATACCTTTCTGTATATCGGCACCCCAAGCTACCTGAAGTTGTGTATGCGTGCATTTGTATATCTGTGCACAAACAAGCTACATTCATACCTGCAAGTTGCACTCATACATAACATAGCTAGATATTTACATGCGGACATACATGTATACATCTATGCTTACGTGCATACATACATGCATACATACATACATAAATACAGACATACATACATGTACATATACATGCACACGCAGATACCTACAGATATGGTGCAGCTATGCATCTATCGTAAGTCTGCATGCTGGGTCATACGCATTCGTATGTATGTGGTTTGTATGCATGTCGCAGCTTCTTTCCGTGGGTACCTTGTGCATACTTTGAATGGAAAATAAAGAATGTATCACACATGTAGCGAAACCCACGACCACGTCAAGGAATAGGTAATCCGCGAGATAAAGACATTAACGCTGTCGTTGGGGCGTTGGAGTTTTAGGGTTTACTGTCTGCCAGCATCATACCCTGGGAGGGTTTCAGGGGGTTTCAGGTGCAGCATCTCCTAATCGGGTTTTCGCGCCTTTGAGGGGAAGACTTCGGGATTTGGAGCAGTTGCAAGACCCAGTGACCCCGCTCAGTGTTTAAGATCATCTGTTCCAGGCGGATGGGTGTGCTGCCCATCATCCCCCATTGAGGTTGGATGCTTCCGGACCCAGCCACCCCACCCAGGAGGGGACATGCCATCCATCATCTCTTATCACAAGTTGGGGCTGCATGGGGACGTTACACTTCTCGGGCTCATTTGACTATTGTTGGGATTTTGGGGAGCCACTCGCATGACTTGTCATATCCTTGTGAAGTTTTAAACCAAAGTGCCAGATCCTACTTGGCTTTGGATCCAGTCAATCATTGCAAGATTAGCGTCTTCGTTCCAATCATTCCTCTTCGGGTTTCGAGCTGGCCACCCATCATCTCCTGCTATTTTTACGTATTTACTTGTTTTTTGTGGGAACCTGCCTTCCAATACACTCACTTCTTCTACAGGTAGGCTCTTGGTTTTGGCAGAGGCTGGGGTTCTGGGAACCATTCGTCCCTAGGGATGAAAGTCTATCAGCCGTTTGGTTGTCTTAGCCATGCCCTTTTGTGCTTGTGGTTCTGGGTCTTTTTCCGGGAATCTAGTGGCAAGAAACATCTGGTTAACTGGAAACTGAAGCTAGGTGCCGTGCACACACACACACACATATATATATATATATATATATATATGTATATATATATGCACACATATGCATATTCCGTTCTGCATATATATATACCCATATATAAATACATATATATATATATATGTTTATACATATGCGCATACCTAGACAGCGCAGGAGGCAGTCAAGCATACCACTTGATGAATGCTGGCCTAAGGTTTAATCTGCTCACCGTCGTGTTTGTTTGCATCATGCTGCGTCCGGTGCCCAAATGTGCCCAACAATGCGACGGTCGCAGTGTGTATCATACGCCCATGATCTTCTCTGCAGTTCTCGCCTCCATCGGCTTTACCAACGATGCAAACCGACTTGTGCTGTATCCTGTGGAGAACATGATCGCCAAGGCTGCTGCAGAGCATATTTCTATTGCATAGGGGTGAGGAGGCGCTGTAGAAGTTGGATTGGGATTTCCTGAGACCTTGTCCAGGTGGAGACAATCAGGGCCAACCCCTTGGCTGCGATGAAAGTGGCAGACGAGGCTACGCGCTTCCGGAGAACAGGCTATACCGTCTAGTACCGAGCAATATTGACTCCTCAGGAGTTCAAGGTCGAGGAAATCAACAGGGCCAAAGCTGCCAAACAGGACCTTCACGGTTGCAACGTGTTGGTTCTCTCCTCGTTGCCACAGGGCAAACTGCCCAGTGCAGGAGAAAACACGCTGCCAGGCCAAGCCACTTTGTACATTTTTGTGATTCGCGACTGGCAAAAGAACTGCCCAAATTAGGCTCTCTTGGAGTCCATGGGATGCTATTCCAAACGGGAGAACACAGAGATCATGGAGACCGCACCTCGCCCAGACTTTGCAATCGCTGGTATGCAAGCTGCATTTCCGGACTCCATGTCAGGTCATCTTGGAGAAGACGATCATCAAGCTGGGATCTCTCCTTGCGCTTGGCTTCGGGGAGGCTTTCACCGTATCGGAGTCTTGGATAATTCGTCGTGCGGGTTGCCTCGCTCAAGGCTGGCGCGAACATCATTGAGCACAACATGCACGGCGTGGACAGCGCCTGTGTAGATGTGAAGCCATCTCGCTTCTGACTGACAGCTCTTCTTAACACGTGGTTCCGGTGGACACCTCACGTGCCAGGCCATGGTGGAAGGCACCCGAGTGGAGTGCATCATTGGTGCTACCCGAATACGAGATTTCAGCACTGCAACAGAGGCAGGCCGCTAGAGCTCTCTGGCGACGAGATCTGTTTCTGTATCATTCGCGTCAGGTGTTGCAGGCCAAAGTGATGACTTTCGTCAACCAGATAGCAGAGGCGAGTGTATCTTGACAGGATAACGTATACTGGCACTGGTCTCAGAAGTCGTTGTTGCATCAGATCGTCCACGGGGTCGTTGACGAGTTCCACGGCGCCGCGAACAAAAACAATGGTGTCTCAGCTTCTTCTTGCCATACACGCAAGCTTTGTGCAGAAGTGCACTTGCACAGGTGATACATTCCTGATGATCTGGAGAGTGGCTGGTGACGACGAGAAGGCTGGACTTGTTTCTTGCAGGATGATCAGCACGGATGGGCCCCGCCCCGTACGAACGGACAAGCGCGCGCACACACACAGACACACACACACACACAGACACACAGACACACACACACACACACAGACACACACACGCACACAGACAGACACAGACACACACACACACACACACAGACACGCACACACACACAGACACACACAGACACACACTGATGGATTCGGCCAAGAGTACGAGTGCAAGAGGAAAAAGAGAGGCATGTTGTTCATGTTGTAAAAGTTTGTCAGATTGTGGCAACCGTACAACTTGTTTGTATAATCTGGACACCACAGGGGGCCTGTCCTCACACTAATCTTGGCACCACAGGGGGCTGCCGAAAATTGCGCAGGTACATGACTGAGCGTCCTCAATCACTTCCCTTCCAGTGACCTAGCTTCGTTGGATCAGGTCAGTCACTGGAAGCCTGATCCCCCTGCAACAGTTGATTTGGTAAATGTCCAATGTCTGATTAAGTTGAAAAGCAAAAATTGCAAACAGTGTAGGAGTGACCCTCTGCTCCCATGTGCTAGGGAGGTTCACACACACACAGCCCCAATGGGGCGTACATGCTTCAAGTAGAGTGAAAGGTCTGATGCGTGGCAAAAGGAGTGAATGGCGCACTTTTCTCGCTGTCACAAGCGATCAGGTGATTGTCGTATTTCCTGATCCGAACAGGTTCTAACAAAAAGCACCGGCTTCAACGTGGCTAATGTGGTGACTGAATCCCAATCATGTAGTCGTCGACGGTTTTGTTCGAAGAAGAAAGCTGGGATTTTAGGAGTTCTGCCGGTGATCTCCTTGATGCGGTAGGAGAAGATCTTGCGAGCTTGTAGAACGTTGTCACCCAGACAAAGTACCACGTGTAAGAACATGTGCTTGTCTCTGGTGATGCGGTCGGGTGGAATTTCAACAGTCATCCGAAAACATTGTCCTGCCATGGAGTACCATGGAAGGCCGGCTCGGCAGCCTTTCGCTTTGTCATATTTTTGCTGCTACCAACCGACAAACGCTTGAACAAGGAATGCAAATCAACATGGACATGCTGTGTGCTCAGGAGAAACAACAAAGTGGTGTCGTGCTGACACTCGCATGCGCAGGCTTTTTGTCACGCTTAGCGGATCTTGCAGCCCTAATCCGTCCTGAGTATTAGGATCCAACAGCGAGTTTGTTGGGACAGTCACTCATGATCTTGAAATGGCATCTACATCTAAAACCTGCACGTACCAGCATTTTTGCACAAGCGGTTTTGGACCGCTTGTGCTGAATAGTAGGATGCACAATATCGTAAGGTGCAATCGAGTCAGAAGACCAAGGATCTCGCGATGGAGATCGGTGTGCGTCCTCAGCCATGTGTGACGTTGCCGTAGGTGACGCTGATGATGTTGAATGCGAAGAGCGTGTCCTCTTTCGTCTTGTAGTATGTGGATGTTGGCGTCGTTGCTGTGTTGTGGATTGGGATGCTGGTGAGATGTTGCGTGTTTTCTTTGTTTTCATGACTGTTTTGTCCTTTTTGTCTTTGTTGTCATTCTTCTTTTTTGTCTTCGTTGTGTGCTTTGTTTTTTGCTTGTGTGTGTGACTGACTGCATGGGATGATGTGGTGGTGTCATCCTTCCTCAGGAAGGCATCAATCTCTTCGGATCCCCATAGGCTGCTGTCGTCGTCCTCGTCCATCTGTGTGCGATCCTAAATATGTTTCAGCAAATGTAGTTCTGAGAAATGGCTGCGGAGTCACAACTGTATTGAGGCATGTGTATACGCTGATCTTCAGAAGAGAGAGAGAGATGTACACAGAGACATCAATTGAGCAACCTCGCCGACCGGCATGACCTTTCAACATGATGCTCTTAATGTTGAACCTCATCAGGGATGATGGAGTTCGCAGCACAGCTTTGCTGTGTGGTTGTTGGCTGCCAGGGGCAGCAAATGTGCATCTAATTGTCAACTCAGCAATGTTGCTCACGGAGTTCTTGACCGCTTTCTCTTGTTGGATGTAGGAGTTGATGTAGTAGATACTGTCTCCTTTTGGGTCGGAGGCGTTGATGTCGGACGCTGATCAGGTTGCTCCGCATGCTTTCGTATCCACTCTTGAGATGCGATAAAGTACTCCCGCCACCATGAAGAGCCGTTAGTGGCCCAATGCCATCTCCATTGTGATGCCGTGGGAGATCGCGATCTGGTGCGTTGTTCCATGGTGCTAACACAACTGGTTGTTTTGCAAAATGCTGCGGGAAAGGTGCATCAATCGCTGCATGCCAAACATATGTGAAGTGAGTGCACTGACTGTCACAGTTGGCAACAACGACTATCGTTGTTTTTACCGTCCTCTGCAAAGCACCCGATGGTGGTATGAACATGGTTGATCACCTATTGTTGCGAAGCTTCGAGTCTTTCCACTCGTTGCTTTAACTCTGTGATCTGCCGGGTTGTTTGCAGAATAAACTCAGCTAATTGGTCGCGTAGAGCCTCGTCACTGAATGTGGAAGGTTCACTTCCAGTTTCGGAATCATAGTCCCGATGCTGTGTCAAAATCTCCATGAGGGCCGCGGAGAGAGCTTCGCGTCGTGACTCATCGACGGGTGGCGAATCTGTGGTCACTGTGTTGGTCGGAAGAGATGCTTCGCTCATGGCTCGATGTCGGGATTCCGATAGGTGTCACTCTGAGGCAAAACTTCAGAAGGCAAAGTTATGGTGTGTGTCTGAAAGCAACATGTGTTGAAATGCGAGAAATGTGCACTACCTGGCTCTTTTTATACCAGCGTACCTTATCAGCATATTCACGACCAATCAGGCGCGTTTTGCCTGATGAGGCTTTCGAGTACGTCGAGCTGCTGTTTGCACGAGGCGAGGATCGCCGTGGTAGCCTCGTGTTGAGTAGTCAACACCGTTGTAGCCTGTTGTATCAGGCGCTCGAGTTTGGCATTCGATTCAAGCAACGAATTGTGAAACTGCGTTATTGCTGCCATAATCTCAGTCGATGAATCCGGATCAGGGTGATGCGGAGGTGGAAATGGCGGGGTCGTCGGTGCAGCCACTGCTGCATCCTGCTGTTCTTCCGGATCTTGGTGTTGCTCTTGGTAATCTTGGAAATCTTCGTCTTCTGCAACACGTAGGAACTGAGAGCGCAAAAGCGCCGGCTGTGGATTGTGGCTGCCAACCGCAGGTTGCTCGTTGCGGCGTCTGCTATGCTTGGAGATGGATGGCCGAGGACGGCCGCTCAGCGCTTTGTGGCTCGGCTGCAATCTGCCAGTCATGGCACTTTTATACATGATGATGCCTCAGTTAACCCTGTAAATGGCTGCGGGAAGCACTGTGTTGATACAAGGCGGCTCTCATGTTGCAAAGTTGCATGACTCTGGACACACGCACGGCAACTTGGCACAGTGTTTTGCTTACAGCTGTTGATCAGTATAGCCGGCAGCGATGTAGAGATCGCGCATGGCTCGAATGGCTGATGTGGCCTCGCTGCATGGTGTTGTCACTCTGCGTACCATGCGTGTGCGGGCCTGAAAACTGCTGCGAAGTATTGCAACAGAGGTGGCTGACTGTGGGTGTAAAATATCCGCCTTGTGCAAAGTGCATTGATGCGTAAGGCTGCTGTGCTGAGGGTTTATGGCGAAACCCAGGAAAATGTTGGCCGGTTCAGTTTCAAGCTGAACCGGTGGCTTGTAGAAAGATGCGTCAGTAAGCTGTGCAAAAGGAGGCAGTCGGGTCAGCTGTGCAGGTAAAAGAAGGACGCGGTTGTCGACGTATCTGGTAGCAAAAAAGACAGCTTGATCCTGCTTGTTGTGGTCTGGAAAATGCTTGTGGTTCTTGAAAAGTTGTTTGTATGTGTGGTGCCAACACTGTTCTTCGACGGCAACCACGATGTTGCATAGGGCCGGGCTGCAGGGCGAGCCCATAGGTGCACCGCGAAATTGCTCAATAAGTGATGTACCAACAGTGAAATAGTTGAGTCGGAGCACTGCAATGATGAGTTGTGGTATATGTTGTAATTGTATGCAAAGTTTGTTGCCGGAAGAGGCTTCTTGCTTCTTTTGTCTGCTTTTGCCCCTGTGGACTCGATGTGTGGGGTCTTTCTGTGAGTGGTCAATGAAGAATTTGGAAGAGTGTAGTGGGTTCTTTTCTCTGTACCATCGAACCATAATGCTGTACGCTGAAAGAAACCGGCTCTGATCGACCGATGTAAAGAAGCCAGCCAAATCCTGGTTGTACAGGATGTAATCTGTTGAATCGTGTAATTTCCTGCGCTGATGCAGGAAGAGTGCTGTTTGTTTGAGCTGTGTTATCCCGTCTCCTTGGTGAAAGGAGTTTGGACATGCTTGAAAAGTCATCAGCTGCAGTACGTCTGCTAAGGCTTCCCACAATTTTCTGCCCATGGTGTCGATGAACGCCACTATAGGGCGGCCTTTTGTGAATTGCTTCTTTCTTTTCGGTAAAATGTAGGCGCGTGGGATGCGTCCCCATTGTGGAAAAGCCCATATGTAAGCTGGTAGAAGACTGCGGACGTCTGTGTAGACATCAAAGTGGTGTTGTAGAGGTTGGTGCTGCGAGATCCGAAAGATCTCCTTGTCTAAAAAAGTGTTGTGTATGGCACTGTGATATAGTGCTGGGCAGTACCACGTGAGTCGGTTCGGGAAGTGATCTTCGCAATGGATGATGCCCGATGGTATTTTGTGTTGGACTTGCTTGATCATCTTAACCTGTAGTATGTTGTGTTGATTGCAGTGTGTGTTGTGTTGAGGTATTTGTTCAGATACAAACTGCTTTGCAGTTTGATGGTTGTAAGGTAGTCCATAGTATCGATGCCATGTGCGTATGGCTCGGCATAATTGTGAAGCCAACTGTGTAGGCTTCTGAAGGCAATTGCTTTTGCCGGAGTATGCCAAAAATTGATGTTGTGGTTGTAGTTCTGCAAGTTGGATAGCAATGTGATTGTGGAAAATATGCTCCTGGGGAACTTGTGAATGTAATGGTGAGCAGGTACAGGGTGGTGGTGAATCGGGTTGCCATGTAGTGTGGGCGTCGCGCCAATTGTGTAGAAGTTGTTGCATGGGTGGGTGTTTCTTGTAGACGGGTTTTGTGCTGGGGAGATGGAATGGTGGAATGTGTTGTTTGTTGCTTGTTAACCGAGAGCGCAAAAATTGTCGTAGTTGTTGAGTGAAAGTGGGGTGTAAGAGTGGCTGTAGGTAAATGGGTTTTGTGACAGGAGGTGGTTTAAGTCGTCGCTTCTTGAAGAC